TGTAAAGATGTCTGCTTCTGGAGATAGCACTCCATGATGAGCTTGGCTTGATAAGCTTGCAAACATATCCTCATCTGATCCATCGTCTCCAATGCACAGCACGAAATCCACTGACATCCCATTCATCTTTAGATTAGAAAGAACTTTTTCTATGACTAAGCCTTTAGTAATTCCCTGTGATGATAATTAGCCAACGTTAGAACCTCACATGAGAATCATAGGTTAAGAGATAAAGATCGAACTTTATGGAGTTACACCTGTGGCTTGACTTCAACAATATCACGTCCCTTTTGAACAACTGCTGGCTCATTTGCAAGAACACCTTCAAGGTGATCCAACAGCTCCTTGGCTTCAAAATTCCATAATCAGAGCCAAAAGAATCATCTTCATGATAATGCCATACCAAGCCGCTCTCCTTGCTCTCCATATAGGAGCTGCCGGTTAATTCAGAATATGATCTCATTTCAGGTTCAACAACGCTTTTCCAAGAAAAATCAGCGACTAAATCACTGGTTTCCCAGCTTGAATTTTTATCCCATCTGAGTTAAAAGATCATACACAACCTGAAAAGTTTAGAGAACTAGCAAGAAAGAAAAGAAACTCCAAAACTAAATTATATAAACACTCACCTTATAAAATAACCATGCTCAGCTGCTATACCAAGATTCTCACATGAATCGAACCAATCACTTAGTTGGGTCTTACCCCTGCCACTTACTATAAACACGGTGTTCAGCGGGTCATTGCAGAGGTCATTGATAACAGATATGAGTTCAGGACTAGGGCTTTGCACAATGGAAGTTTGGGGAACAATTGTACCATCATAGTCCAAAAATATTGCCCTACCCTTAGTCTCTTCATATGCAGAGACAACATGCTCGATGGATAGCTTCCTGAAATTCAGAGGAAAGGACGTGACTCTGAAACCAAAACTTAATCCAAGGCCCAAGCAATGGTTAGCATGGTGATGCATGCATGAACGCTCAAGATCTTGCATAAAATTTCTAGCCCAGTAAGCCACATCATGAGAGCTAACATGCCTGAAGTGTATCTCATGCCTCAAGTGTTTTTGTGTAATGGGCATGTCGATGGCTGAACTTAGTGCTTCAGACACAGCATCTATGTCCCAAGGGTTCACCCTAAAAGCCCCACTAAGAGATGGTGAGCAGCCTATGAACTCAGAAATGACAAGTGCACTTGTATGAAGCGACTCAGAATCGATTTCTAATACTTCATCCATCTCTGGGGTCCCCTGCCTATAGGCAATATACATGTAAGGAACCAAATTCATACCATCCCTTACTGCATTCACAAAGCAACATTCTGCCAAAGCATAATAAGCGGCCTTCTCATAAAAAGGAGTAGGATGGTCAATGATAATGACAGGTTTGTAACCTGCAAAACCAAACCTTTCATTTATCCTTTCAGCAACAAGGTATGTCTCTTTCTTTGCTTCCTCAATATCTCTGCCAGTTCTCCTTGGGGGGTTCACAATTTGGACAACAACTAATTCACCTTGCAAAGATGGCCTCTTCTGTAGGAGTTGTTCTATGGCCAAGAGCTTTAGACCAATGCCTTTGAATATGTCCATATCATCAACACCAAGAATGAGTGTTTTCCCCTTAAATTGCTCACGGATTTCTCTGACTTTGGTGGACGAAGATGGGTGATTCAAGGAAGAATGAAGTCGGCCCATATGAATCCCTGCAGGCAAAACTTTAATGTTCACCTTTCGGCCAGAGTATTCAATCTCAATGTAACCCCTTTTGTATTCATATTCCAAGCCGAGCATCTGACTGCAGCAAGACAAAAAGTGGCGAGCATATTCGTATGTTTGAAAGCCTATTAAATCTGAATTAAGCAGAGCTTTCAAATATGCACTCCAATAGGCTGAGTCATATAAATTTCCAAAGGAGGAAAAGGACTGTGGAGGAAAAATCCTAGTTTGAAACGATAGTACCGCCTGCGCAGAAGCATTGGCAGGCCATAAGATGATAATCATGAATCCAGACATAATCTTTTCCTGGATTATTAATAACTTCTATGACCTTATCTGTGAATTTTACATTAACAGCAACATAAGCCCTCCAAAGTAACGCATCAAAGTGACTGCCGTAAGCCGGATTCATAGGCATCATGTAATGGAATAGAGGCCATAAATACTGCTTGCAGAATCCATTATAATACATTTTGCGGATATCTGAAGGAATAAATATAGGCAAGCACTTGAATTCCTCCAGCAACTCAAGAGAAACCTGCTCTTGTTTGCTTTCTTCAACATCAATAGTTAGAGATCCAACATAAAAAACATCAGTATCATGAGAGATACTATCCTTTAGTTGCAATAAAATAGAATCTTCATCGAAACCAAAGCACCACCGGCCAGAATTATCCTGCTGGGCATTTAGGGGAAGAAAATTTGCTACTATGATTATCCTTTGCTTGTCTTCTGATGAGGAATCATATGGATCATGATCATCATTAGACATAATCCCTGGATCATTCATAGCTCCCGGTAGAGCTCTAGAAGATTGAGGGGAACTTGAATTGACTCCTCTGATGAAGTCAAATAGATTAATGTATGCTTTGAGCACCATCTATACTGAATTTCCCAGTAATTGAGATTTAAGGGCGCAGTATTTGTAGACCAACAAATGAGGATCTTTGAAAAATTGACTCAAAGGACAGAGAGAACCTGTAAAAGAGGCAAGAGATAGCATTATAACTATGGCATTCAGGATAAGATAAAGCAGGATAACAACACAAGCACATAAATCAAGCAAATTGCGCGAGTTTAACTAATATATATTAAAAGTTCAGACTTAGTCAGAGATTCATTTATAGGCTATGGCTTTTAGAAAATCATGTCTAACCAAATTGACTGCTTGCTGAGACAGGAAAAAAAGGAAATGCCTTTCTTATGGTAAGAAAATCATTTGAGTATTATTTTTTACTATGTTTAGCCCCAGTGTTGATTGTGCAAATAAAATACAAACAAACATCAATATCACTCAACATGGCAAAGAATATCTCATGAATGAGAGCAGAATAATGGCACATATGTATATTCTACTGCCTTGCTAAGCAACAACACAGCAAGCCGGGGTTTTTTTTTTGGGGGGGGGGGGAGCACTTCTAAATTGCATAGAAGAAAGATGTAACATCAACTTAGTTCCTCTAATAAATAGAAGAATCAAACAGACGCAGATAACACTTTGTACAAACTTATACCACTAATGAGCTAAAAAGGGGGAAATCATCGGTAAACTCTCGATGAAAATATGATCATAGGTAATTTGATTTCAAACCCCGCTTAACTTTCTCAGATCTCTAAATAATCAAAATAAAACAAATCAAATTTACTTCCTCAGCAGAAAGGAGCAAATTTTCAGAGATCCAACAAAGGTATGGCCAGTCGACTTATGCCTGATATTGTGTTCATCCAAGTCAGTACAGGCAGAAACACAATTGCAAAGTAGAAACAAGCTAGTGAGATCAAGAGGCAAGTAAGAAAACAAGCTTGAGCACCTAGATTTAACCCAAATCATACAGCTAATCTCAATATAACTTATTCCCATTGCTAGCGTTTCACGCGATATCTAGCTGGCTCGTCATATGAAGCTTGTGAACTGGCAAGCGTTACACTCGAGAACAGCTAAGTAAAACTGCAGAACATCAGGCCTGTACTAACCCAAAAATTGCAGCTTCACATTCCTCATATGCCATTAGAATTATTAATTTCTTTTTGATCAGTTTAGAAACTAAATAAATGAGATTCACCTGTTTACCAGTTCCTTCTTGTATTTTACTAAACACTAAACATAAATTATGAAATAAACCATCGCAATATATCAGAACATGAAAGGATGTCCACATAAGGTCATGAATAACATGACAAACCAGCAACAATTTCAACACTTAGGATAACTTGTGGACAAAAAAGGTTGTTCAAATTTGTCTCTCTACAGACCATAGGAGGAAACTAGTGGGAGTGCTAACGTGATACTTGTCTGTGGCAGCTCATCAAAAGTGCTTAGGAAGTTTGTTTGGTTCTGCAGATAAACGTTTCACTTACGCATTACATTTCTTACATAGTTTCAGTTTCCTTATTTTAAATTTTTAAAAGAGGCCATTCATAATTTTGCCCGTTCATGCCTTCCAGCTTAGCATAACACAGACAACGGCTAGCTTCATCTCTAAGTAGCATTATTTTATTCAGGTACAATCCAGGTTTCCTTTTTCCATGAGTAGGATAAATGTTTTGGCTCCCCAAACAAATAGCTCGAAATGCGAATATTTGCAAAACCCGCTAGACCCGAAGAGCTACACAAACAGAGAAGAGCGCCCATTTACCTTAAAAGAATGAAACTTCTGTAACTACAAAGAATTCCAGTGACTGAACGGGAATTTCACACTGAAGAAACAGTAAAGGAATAGAACAGATTCAGATATGAAAAACCCATTTCCCTCTGATCACTACGAATGGAAAGAACACTACAGTATCTGGGAGAAGCTAATTCAAAGCAAATTAACCGTCAATGAAATCTCAAAAGTGGTAGTTTTTACCTTGTTCACTTTCTCAGCAACCAAACAGACCCATGAAGGAGAACAAGCAAAAAAAAAATGAGGGAAAAAATGGAGGTGTACAAGTGAAATCAAGAGCTGGTATAAACAGGAACGGGCAAAAAACAAAAATCAGCAAAAGAAGGCATAGATAGATATCTCGGGTATGTGTGTATGTTCGGTTGGTACCGGTGATTTGTGAGAATTTAACAGTTTAGGTGTTCACTAGATAGATATCTCGGGTATGTGTGCATGTTCGGTTGGCACCGGTGATTTGTGAGAATTAACAGTTTAGGTGTTCATATACTTTTTTGTTTAAAATTCGTGTTCATTGAATCAGCAGCTTATGCCGCGACCCTGAGAGACAAGAATAGACGGAGAAGGTGAAAGAGACAGAGAGAGAATGAGAGATGTGGATATTTTGTAATAATCGCGAAATGGATATAGTCATCAAGGAAAAACCAACAAAGACAGTTGGATTGCAACTCTAGTTTAGTCTTACGTCGGATTTGGATTTTTTTTTATTTTTTTATTTCATATTTTTTTATTTTTAAATTATTTTGAATTTGAGATTAATTTTATCAGACCAAAAACATTAAAGTTAACAGCTTTTTAACAAGTTCAAACTTGTATTTTACTCCATTCTCAAACACTTCTTTTTGCTACAAAAAATATATGTATACTTTATAGGTCAATTTTTAATTTGTTATCTAAATTTTTTCTCAATTAAATTGTTTAATTTTACTTTATTAGCACAGCTAGCTCTTAAAATATTGACAGAGCAAAATTTACAGATTTAATTAAAAAAGAAATATTTATAGGTGTCAAATTAAAAATTAATAAAAAGTATAACTGTAAAACGGCTTTGAACAGTTTCTTTTTTAATTATTATTAAAAGTAATATAAAAAGAGAAGTTTATTTTGGCGCGCTTTTGTTTGGTTCAACGAGCTGGCGTCTTCTTCCTCGCTTCCCGCACCTATCTCCCTGTGAGCGAATGATTTTCCGTCAAACCCATTAATTTCTCAGGCTCACTGGCCGTCACCGCGCAACAAGAAGAAGAAGGTGAAGATGAACAGATACGCAGCTTCTTCTTCGTCTCGATTATTACGAAGCCATTTCTCCAAGTCTTTCTCCCTCAGAAAGAAGGTTCCCTGGTGGTACCAAATCCTCGATCCCAAATCCGAATTCGTCGACCGATGGAATCGCACCTTCCTCTACGCCAGCTTCCTTGCCCTCTTCCTCGACCCCCTCTATTTCTATTTCCCCATCATCGGCAAAGAGAGTTGCATGAAAATCGACTTGGTCCTCGGCGTCTTCATCACTTTCTTCCGCACCCTCAACGATATCTTCTTCGTCTTCCACATTGTTCTCAAATTCCGTACGGCCTACTTTTCTTCCCACTCTTTTGGCCGCGGTGATCTCATCACTGACCCCTACCTCATCGCCATTCGCTATCTCAAGACCGATTTCTGCTTTGATTTTCTCGCATGCCTTCCTCTCCCTCAGGTAACCCGTTCATCATTCCATTTTACAATCTCCTTAAATATATAAATGAAAGGATTAGTGGTTGCTATGTAATGCAGATCGTGATTTGGTTCTTGATTCCCGCATTCAAAGATACGACAGCAGCTCATGCGAATCATACCCTTTCTCTCATGGTTCTTCTCCAGTATATTCCTCGATTCTTCCAGATCTTCCCTCTTCAACGCCGGATCATAAAAACCAGCGGCCTTATAGCCAAGACGGCTTTGGCAGGGTCTTTATACAATCTTGGTTTTTACGTGTTGGCGAGCCATGTGAGTATGTGCATTTTTCTCCCTTGGGTATGATAGTTAGTGAAATCAGCAAGAGAAAGTTGTTAGAATTAGAAACAAGGCAATGTGAACGTACATGAGTGCAGGTTTTAGGGGCTGCATATTATTTGTTAGCGATTCAGCGCCAGTCTCAATGCTGGAGAGAAATTTGTGCGAAGGAAGCCAACGCAACGCACTCTCCATCTTGCTCGCCTCAATTTCTTGATTGCGACTCACTGAACGATCCCGCACGTGATGCTTGGTACCAACAAACTTACCTTACTGTCGTCTGTGATGCTAAGAATGAAGGCAGCCATTTTGAGTTTGGAATTTACGCCGACGCTTTTACTGATGAAGTTGCTACATCTAGGTTCATCGAAAGATACTTTTATTGCCTCTGGTGGGGCTTGAAGAGTCTATGGTATGCCGTCCCTCATTCGTCGCATCAACCTATTCCGCCTACATTTATATACATACACACGCATATATGATTTTAAGTCTTATCGGATTCTGCGTTATCCAATATCTATTGAAACCTTTGATTATGTGCAGTGCATATGGACAAAATCTTAATACAAGCGTCTTCGTTTCTGAATCTTTATTTGCGAGTTTCATCTGCATTGCAGGTCTAATTCTCTTTGCACTTCTCATTGGTAACATGCAGGTATCCCCATAGGGCCAGTAGTATCTGCTTATATTAATGAATATTATTAAATTCTCCTTGTAATGCTTTAACCGTGTTCATTCATCAATTCTTTCTCTCTTTTTCTTTTTTTGCCCCCCTCGTAAAGAACTATTGGCAATCTACTACTGCAAGACTTGAAGAATGGAGAATTAAACAAAGAGATACGGAAGAGTGGATGAGGCATCGTCAACTTCCGCCAGAACTGCAAGAACGTGTACGTCGGTTTGTCCAATACAAATGGCTGGCCACTAGAGGTGTAGATGAAGAAACTATTTTGCGTTCTTTACCTTTGGATCTTCGTCGTCAGATTCAGAGACATATTTGTCTTGCTCTTGTTCGTCGGGTATGAACATTAACTTAGATGCTTCCACGAAAAATTCTGACATCATGCCTGTCCATTCAAGGATAATTGATTAATACCGAGGTTCACTTCTCAGGTCGAAAATTTGACCTCTAGATGTCCATGTACCTTTTGTGCGCAATAACTTTTTACGCCTTAATTTCCTTGGACTTATTTTAAGACGTGTCAAATAATTCAATGTTCGCAAATTGACTAGTGTCTCTTTTGTTCTGTTCAGGTTCCATTTTTTGGTCAAATGGATGATCAGCTGCTGGATGCCATATGTGAACGCCTTGTGTCCTCCCTGAACACAAAAGACACGTACTTAGTCAGGGAAGGAGACCCAGTGAAAGAGATGATCTTTATCATTAGAGGACAAGTGGAGAGCTCCACCACTGATGGTGGGAGATCTGGATTCTTCAACTCTATAACCCTAAGACCAGGTGACTTTTGTGGCGAAGAACTGCTGACGTGGGCTTTGGCGCCCGCTTCTAGCAGCCTTCCATCCTCCACTCGAACCGTAAAGACCCTCACTGAATTGGAAGCATTTGCACTCAGAGCTGAAGACATCAGATTCTTTGGCATCCAATTTAAGAGGCTTCATAGCAAGAGGATTCAGCATGCTTTCAGGTATTACTCTCACCAATGGAGGGCTTGGGGGGCTTGTTTTATACAAGCTGCATGGAGACGCTATGTGAAGAAGAAGTTGGCGATGGAGCTTTTGGAGAAAGAGAATCTGTTAGAATTAATAGAGTTGGACGATGGTGAAGAATTTGCTCCTGGGGTAGGGAGCTCAGCAGGGAAGGCTGCTGCTGCTACTGGTGGAAGCCTTGCGACTACACTTTGGGCTTCCAAGTTTGCTAAAAACACCAGAAAAGGGGCGCATCATCAGAAAGTGACAATCCCTGATGAAAGCAGCCTGAAGATGCCGAAGCTGTTTAAGCCTTCAGACCCTGACTTCTCAGCAGACCACGAAGATTAGTTTGGTATAAGGTCTGATCACTCTCATTAACACTTTTGTATCCAAGTTAAATATACCTGTAGAAGCGAAGCCCTTTTCTCTTTGTAGTTTATCCAAGTCGCAGTACATATGTGAAGAATGGGGTAAATTCCTTTGAAGATTGTATTTACTATTTAGCCAATTGGCATATCAAACTGAGAACCTGTGAATTTCAGATCGAACCCCATAAAACAGATCCTCGTCTTCCGTGCTAGCTTCTTATTCTCTATTTCAGCAACAAAAATTGTGGTTTCCTTGCTATATGCAGATTTATTTCTTTGCTTTTTAGAGGAACTTCAATTGATATTTTGTTGAAAAAAATAAGTCCTGAAGAAATTATAGATGATTCTGGAATGGTTATGAATGTGATTGATGGGAAAGACAAGGTCGAGCCTGGAGAGTTAACTTGTTTCTATTTAGCGTGATTGGTGGACCCATGGTCTCAGCGTATGGCTAATAACTTTGCATGTGCGCCCAGAGAGAGACGCATCACACGCCATGATCAGAACTGTCCTCTCCTCTCCCCATATTTGGTCAGGAGGTGGAACTCTTCTACACTAGCAGGAACAACATTATGTGTGCCGATTATTTGGCCAAGACAGGGCATGAAGCGGGCAGACTGGTGAAACTCCTCCATGACGAACCAGAGGAAAATATCTTGCAAGTGGCACCAGGTGGTGAAGAGCACTAATCACCCCGACAGTTTTGGGATGACCGTCTAGTCCAGTTGCTGTTATTATTCTCTTAACCTCTTGTTTTGTTCCCATCAAGCTTAGCTTGTCCTTATCTGTTCAAAAAAAAAAGAACTGTCCTCCCATCCAAAAATTTGATTGAACGAGGGCATTGTAAGTGAATTGAGTTTAATGATACGATGTAAATAAATAAATAAATATTTAAATACATTAAATATTATATGTTGATTTAATTATTAATTTATTTTATCTTCGAAAATTAATTTCACGACATCACTGTCTTGACATCTCAACTAAATTGGTTGCCACGCATGTTAAGTGAGAAGCAAATGAGTTGGTGGTCATGATCCCCTCAACCTTCTAATATCTTTTCCCAATCAGTGGCGTATCCTAGTGTTCTTTCCACTCTGTCCTGAAAAGGACCGCATTTTTCAGACCTTTCCCCAACCAACACAAAATCAAGGAAAGATCACCCTCCATGGAGGGACTTACTCCTATTCAAGTCCTCAAGCACTCTGAAATTATTTGGCTGGACTGAACTGAAAATAAAATTATATGCAAAATGACAAAAATACGCTGCTTTTTCTTTTAAGGGATAAAAAAAAAGCCTATCCTTGAGCTACTTCCGCCACTAGTGCCAAAGTCTGGCAGTGGTCCGACACCCCACCATCGGCAGCAAGTTGATGCACTTGATCGGACCCATTTATTGATGTGATATTGGTAAAATGTTGCCTATATACATACCCAAGTCACTTTCACTCAGCTCCATCTGTTAATAAGCTACTGATAAAATGTGGATTCAGTATGATTAACAATGTTAATTAACGGACGAGTTGGACACGTAAGTTACCACGTCGCTGTCTCCCGTTGTTGGATTCTTTTGGGGTCATCCTATATTGAAATTTAAACAAGATACTCCTCCGGTCCTTATTATAAGACCCAATTTGACTTTTTATTTGGTCCTAATTATAAGACCCAATCCATTTTCTCTCTTATATTTATGCATTTTTTTCCAAGATAATCCTTCTAATAATGATAGTTTTAGCCAATATACTTAATTAGCAAGGATATTTTAGGAATAACAACACTTATTTATTATAAATAACCAACTTAACTTACTTCCTTAATCTCCTCAAATAAGTCAATTGGGTCTTATAATTAGGACCGGAGGAGTATATAATTAACAATCTAAATTTAACACATCCTGTGATGAAACATTAAAGAGATTATATGACGGGGGAGAGTTGTCACAGTACGCAAGAAAGTTATAAGTCATGTTAGTTTATATGAGTCACAAAACATTTCAGGGTTAATTTATTATAATTAATTAAGGTTTAATTTTAAGTTTTTTATTCAGAACCATTTCAATGTTTACTTGTAATTTTACAGAAAGTCAGGGTTTAATTTTCTCACATTTATTTTATTTTACTTTTTTTCTTAATATAATGGTTAAATAATTAAGTTAGACATATTAAAGAGATTAATTAAGCTGATTATTTGTAATAAATGTATGTTGGATTCTCTAAACTAATCATATTTAATCACATACATTACAATTACCTTTTATTGCTTACTATTAACAGGAATATGTAATATTTAAAAAAGAGAAAATTCAAAACAAAAATTTTAAAATCTCAAATCTGTAATTACTACAAAAATATATTATCATTTACTTTTTAAGTGTATTCAATTACTATTAAAGTGTAATAAACAAGACTGATTTAAAATTTTAAAATTTAAAAAATATTTTATTAGAATTTTTTTCATTTATAAATTCAAATTGCAGACGCGAGACAAATAAAAGCGGTTCTTATTCGTACTTGCCTTTTGTGATCAATGGTCATCACTGGCTTTATGACCCGGATGCAATCTTCACAGGGATTCAAAAACTAAGTAAAAGAACGGTGGAAGTAATGGAAATTTGAAAAAAAAAAAAATTTGACAAATGGTAAGAGTAATTTTAGAAATTTCATTTGTTTTTATTTATGTGTATATAAGATTTTGGGGTGCCCTTTATTTATTAAGTTCTAATGCATACTTGTATTTTTTTCCATAGTTAATGAACATTTTTCACATGTTTGATATACACACACACACACAAATTTATAAATAGAGGATAAAAATTGAATACGATACTTCATGGGAGTTCTTTTTTTTTTTTTTTGGCCCTTCTAATTTATAATAAGATTCTTTGAAGGTGATGGATATCCTCATGACATCGATAAAATATGACGATATTTACAACATGCACCCTTTCCGACCAAGCGTCCAGTGAACATAAAATAAATTCCAGGAAAAAAAGAGCATACATTTAATATACGATATTTGTGGCAACAAAAGAAAGAATATACAAATATCTATTACCAGTACATTGGTTTTTTCCACTTATGTACAGGGGAAGTGGTGACCTGCCGCCTTTTGACGAATAACCATTGTTTATAATTTCCCTCACACTAATTGTTTATTCCAAAATAAACTTAGAAGAAAGTTAATATTAAATGTTTTCAGATAAAAATATACTTTGATTTTGAACAATTTTAATTTATTTTTTCAAAGAAAAAATATTTGTTAAAATACTTTCTAGAAGGTTTTTTTTTTGGGGCAAATTTTGATGCCTTTTATCATGGGTAAAGAGGCATCCAGTACCTCAAAATATTTAGTGATACATCTAGTATTTTAAAATAATTTTTTAAGTACATCTAAAATCCCGAATTTTTTTTTTTTGCCTCAATGCTGTATGTATCAAAAAATATTTTTAAGTGCTGGACACACTAAGTGTTGGATGCACTAAAATATAACTACTTCATAATACTGAATACACTACAAAATATTTTAGAATATTGGGTGTACTCAGAAAATAGCACCTTAATTTTTTCTTTTTTAATCGATCACATGATTCTATTTTTTTTATGACACAGTCCGGTAGCAAGCAGAAAAGTTTCATTCGTTCCTTCTATTTTCACAAGTAAGGCAAGGAGGATAATAACAAATAAGCGTCTTCGCTTAATATACAAAGATTTCGTTCTGGGATTGAGTCGATAGGCATGTGTGGATATGTATTACTTGGTCCTTACTTTCCTGGTTCATCCTTGAACGTCTCAGGCTCAGTACGGCGATTTTTTTTTTGCTTTACTTCAACAGTCACCGTCCTTGTGATGAGTGGCAACCAAATAAACGACGACCTCTTAAATTGTTTTGTTCTTTTCCTTGGTTGAGCTTGAAGTAACGGTTATAAGCAAATACTGCGACCATTTCCACTCGGAGTGCTTCTCATCGCTATAAGGAGAAGACAGAGCGTTCTTCTGAGATTCCCATTTCGGCCATGGCTGCTCGAAGGCTTTCCTCTTTGCTTTCTCGCTCTCTAGCTACTTGTCTGCTTCAGTCACCAGGTGAATGGCCAAACACTGTCTTCGTTTCCTTTCTACAGCCTTGCCTCCTCGTTTTTTTGCCTTTTATATTATTTCCTTTTGGTCAGTGGTAATCTTTTGATGGGTTTTCTGCACCTTGGAGATGCTATATGCTTCCCAAACAGCAACTCTCTGCTTTTGTCAGTTTGCACTATTGAAGTCCTCCCCTTGCTCTTCCTCTAAGAGCGATAAACTTCCCAGATTTCTCTGAGTCTAATTCACAAGATATCGTCAGTATCAGATTTATTCCGATGGAATTGGAACAGTTGACTCTCGTAGACTAATCATGGAGTCCTCTCTTTAACTGCTTTAAAGTGACTTTATATCTTTCCTTTTTGCTCCCTCAATTTCTCTCTCTCTCTCTCTATTATATGTATGTGTACGTGTGTGTGTGTATGTACGCGCGTGTGTATATCTTTTGGTAAGAATCCGAATTTGTGTATTTAATGCTGTAAGTGATAACTACTCTGTCCGAATCCAATTGTTCAATTCATTGCTGAGAACTTCCACATAAATTCTTTGCTCCCAGGAAGAACCTGTGGTAGGTGGAGTAAGTTCAACAGATTTAGCACTGCAGCAGCAGCTGAGGAATTAATCACTCCCCAAGTTCCGATAAATTACACACAGCATCTAATAAATGGCCAATTTGTCGATGCTGCTTCAGGTAGGTCTATGCTTATAGTATCTAGTTTGAATAAAGATCGAGACTTTTGCCGCCGTCGGTCTTTATTTTTTATATTTTTGATTTTTTACAATTGACCGATTCCAGTTGGGTCAAGGGCCAATTTTAGTCAAAGCTCCCTCAACATATATATATATATATATATATTTATATATATTCCTTCAGGGTTTACTGAAGCGGCGTTACAGTGTTGGTGAACTTCTTCTTTTTTTTTTTAAATTCCTTTTGCAGGGAAAACTTTTCCAGCATATGATCCTCGCACAGGAGAAGTGATTGCTCATGTTGCTGAAGGCGATGCTGAAGACATCAACCGTGCAGTGTCAGCAGCTCGCAAGGCCTTCGATGAAGGACCTTGGCCAAAAATGACCGCTTATGTAGGCACTTCTTGTAGTCATTTTTCCTTTCTTGCACAATCTGGAATCTGTTCACCACTTGATTGTTATTTTAAAACACTTCCAGGAGAGATGTCGGATATTGCTGCGATTTGCTGATTTGGTTGAGAAGCACAGCAATGAGCTTGCCGCTCTAGAGACATGGAACAATGGGAAGACTTTTGAACAATCATTCAAGTCTGAACTACCAATGTTCGTGCGTCTGTTTCATTACTATGCTGGTAGGAAGGATCAGTGAGGACTTTTAGATACTTTGCTTAATCATTCATTTACATGTTTGTATAGTTTTCTTAGGATATTCTTCTTCCAAATTTTTCAGGTTGGGCAGATAAAATCCATGGTCTGACAGTTCCATCAGATGGAAACTATCACATGCAGGTGTTGCATGAGCCAATTGGTGTTGCTGGACAAATTATACCTTGGAACTTTCCTCTTATTATGTTTGCTTGGAAAGTTGGCCCAGCTTTAGCTTGTGGTAATACCATCGTTCTCAAAACTGCAGAGCAAACTCCCCTAACTGCTCTCTATGTGGCAAAACTACTGCACGAGGTGGGCTTGTAGATTGTGTCACGTGCTGATTTAGATTTTTTAAGAGCATCTCAGTAATATTTGAAGCTTCATCAAAGGGTTTTAACTTACCAATGTGCTTGAATTTTGGCAGGCTGGTCTTCCCCGTGGTGTTTTGAATGTGGTTTCTGGGTTCGGTCCAACTGCTGGTGCAGCTCTTGCAAGTCATATGGATGTGGACAAGGTATTCTTTAGAAAAGGATGTCTTACACATTGTTTGTATGGTATAGGACTACATGGTTTTGCAAGTCAGTAATGAGCTAGGTTTAGGCCACTGAACTGTTCAATATACTCTCAGATGCATTCTTTTTCCATGGTAGTGGTGATCTGAAACCCCATATCAGGCTCTGGCAGATTTTAATATGTGATAGTCCTTATCACAGAGCAATAGGTCATGATAATTCATCAAGGGTAGAGAAAGCCAGAATCTTTCTGATATCTTCCTTTTTGTTTCCACGTTATCGCCATGTTTGGTTCATAAACACGTCGCAGAAGTTGGAGGTGGCTTTGCTTGGCTTGTATTTTAGAGAACATTAAATAACAGGACGAAAAAGGTCTTTTGACATGTATGTTTGGGGCCACTGTACCTTTCTCTACAATGTTTGTTTCTTCTTTTCTTTTTTTTTTTTTGGGTCATAACAAATAACTGCACCACTCAGCGAAATTTGATTTACGTGCATGTTATTGTAACAAAGTACGTTTGCTCATTGTCTGAATCATTCAGTCAGATATCTTAGTTCAGGTCAAATACCTAACCATATGTATTGTAATTTTTTGCTCAGTCAACGACAAGTTGAATTTTTGCCAGTCGAATCACTTTCACCTAATATGGATGTCTTTACTTCTATCTTGGCAGCTAGCATTCACTGGATCATCCGACACTGGAAAAGTTGTGCTAGGATTGGCTGCAAAGAGCAACCTTAAGCCAGTGACATTGGAGCTCGGAGGGAAATCACCTTTCATAGTATTTGATGATGCCGATGTTGACAAGGCTGTAGAACTTGCCCACTTCGCTCTGTTTTTCAATCAGGTTTTTGTTTTTTCAACATTCCTCTCCCATAACTACTTACGTAGGCAGTGGCCTAGAAAACCTCAATGCTTATGGATGATGTACTATTTGTAGGGACAATGTTGCTGTGCTGGGTCTCGCACCTTCGTACACGAGCGAATCTATGACGAGTTCTTAGAGAAATCAAAGGCACGTGCCATGAGACGCATTGTTGGCGATCCCTTCAAGAAAGGTGTTGAACAAGGCCCCCAGATCGACGGCGAACAATTTCAGAAAATCCTTAACTACATAAGATCTGGAATTGAAAGCAACGCCACCCTTGAATGTGGAGGAGGCAGAATCGGTTCAAAGGGCTTCTTCATCGAGCCAACTGTCTTCTCCAATGTTCAGGTGTCCATCATTTGCCAAAACTGGTTTTCATGTTATATGAAACATCTTGACAGAGGGAAGGATCAATCTGACACATTTTAATGATCAGGATGATATGTTGATAGCAAAGGAGGAAATCTTCGGACCAGTTCAAGCGATATTGAAATTCAAGTGAGCGACGGACACTTTCTGTTGTGTGAGTCCATGCAATGTGATTCTGAGCTGTGTTCTAATTCTGTGGTTTTCTTAATAACAGGGACATTGAGGAGGTAATAAGGAGGTCAAATGATACGAGGTATGGTCTAGCCGCCGGAGTGTTCACTAAGAGCGGGGACACAGCCAACCAAATGATGAGGGCACTGAGAGTGGGAACTGTGTGGATTAATTGCTTCGATGTGTTCGATGCTGCAATCCCTTTTGGTGGCTACAAGATGAGTGGGACGGGTAGAGAGAAAGGAATTTACAGTCTTAACAATTACTTGCAGGTTAAAGCTGTGGTCTCGCCATTGAAGAATCCTGCTTGGCTCTAAACTCTGAAAATCCCCCTTTATGTTCAAAATCCCCCCCCCCTGTTTTACTTTCTTTCTTCAATGATTTGAATAATCTGAGTGTGGCCAAGACACGACTTGTAATTATGGACTGGATATCCACAACTTCGTACAAAATCGGGGACAAATATGAACTTGTTATGTTGTTGGACCCCCAACTTGCAAAGCTTCAATTTTAGTCAGTAATTAATTAATGCACGTCTCAATAAAAAAAAAAAAGGGTCAATTTCTCTTGCCTGTTCTTATTTATTTATATATCTCCAACTTTCTTGAAGTGGGTCCAGAAATAAGACACGCTTCCCCCCTCAAGGAGGTTAGATAGTGTCATAGTGACTAGATAATGCAAGATTTTTTTTCTTTTAATACAAGGCCGATAATTCTGGTTCAGGATGATTGCGCCTTATACCAGGCATTACGTGGTTGGTTTCCCGTCCACGTCATTATCTATGATCACAATCAGCCATTTCACGAATCTGCCACCATAAACCAGGAGGATCAATGACCAATATATGCTTGTTACTCTATTTATTGGTAATATGAGAGGGACCCATCTGGCCATTTTCACTCCAAACCGACCAAATTTGGACGCCTTCCATTTAAAGGCTTTAACAGTTTAGCGTGTGAAAGTTTTAAGGTTTTTGCAACTTATGAATAATGTCAACGTAAATATTAAAAGAGAATCCAACGGCATGCAATGAACCCGCAGCCTCGTCCTGATAATACAATGCCGACAGAGGGAGTAGAATAGAAGTCCCTAATCTGGTCAACGTCAACCTACTTCGCCTCTAACACGGTTCCGTTATTCTTGTTCCCTTCCGCACACGTCGCCCTCTCATTCGACCACGTGTCACGGTCGGTTATTGGGGCCTACTTCCCGTCGCTTCTGCCTCACCCAATGCAACGTCCCCGGGAACGCACCTCTGCCACGTCCTCAACTTATAATTCCATACAGATCCCTGATTCTTTCCCACGTGTCCTCCTGAGGGTGTTTTTTCCTTCCATAAACCGCCCTTAAAAATTGGATTTTTTATGATCTCGTCAGTTCAATCCCGCATGATATCCGAAAGAGTTTCCTTTTCTCTCTTCACGCATTCTCATTCCTTTCAATGACTAATGCATCCAACCAATCAGGCCGCCGTATTCTGTCATTCCCGGCGGTTCATCCCTGCGAGGGCGTGTCTCCGGCCGCCCTTCTCGCTTCTCTGATCTCTCTTTCTCAGGCTATATGCAGTTTTCAATCCAAGTTCTTCCCAACCCAACGTCGAAACTCCAGAGAAATAATTCGCCAACTTGGTATCATCCTCCTCTTCTTCGAGGAAATTCGAGACCGTGGTGTTCCGATAAGCGACTCTGTTGCTCTCTGCTTCTCCGAACTTCACCTCTGTCTCCAAAAAATTCACTTTCTACTCTCAGATTGTACTCGTGAAGGTGCTCGGCTATGGATGCTGATGAAATCGGAACACGTCGCCACTCAATTCAGGGTTCTGACTCGCGCTTTGGCCACTGCTCTTGACGTTTTGCCTCTGAGCAGCATAGAGATTTGTGATGAAGTAAAAGAGGTAGTGGAATTAGTAGCCAAGCAAGCTCAGAAAGTGAAGCTTGAACTAGACCCGCACGATGAACATGCCACCACGCAGGTCCTTTCAGTTTTGAATCAGTTCGAGAGAGGAATGGAACCCAACTTGAGCATCATGAAGCGAACCTTGAACTACTTGGGGATAAAGAATTGGAATGATTGCAACAAAGAGATTAAATTCTTGGAAGATGAAGTCAACTTCAACTCCTCCGAAGGTGACGAGGGGGAGGTCCCTTTTCTGAGTAACTTAGTTGGGTATTTATGCTATTGCAGGGTAGCGATATTCGAAACTCTGGATTTTCAACAAACCGCCACCGACCCATCGGAGACAAGATGTAGCACGGAGATGATTAACTTCTTAAACCCACAGGACTTTCGATGTCCGATCTCTTTACAACTAATGGCCGATCCTGTGACTTTATCAACGGGTCAGACGTATGATCGGGCATCCATTCAGAAATGGCTCAAAGCTGGAAACAGGACATGCCCGAAAACAGGGGAGAAGCTCACAAACACAGAGCTCGTCCCAAACACGACGCTCAGAAAGCTAATCCACCAGTTCTGTGCTGATAACGGAGTTTCCACCAGCAAGTCCGGTCACCGGAGTCGCGACATAACGAGAACCAGTGTCCCCGGCAGTACAGCTTCAGCACACGCCATGCAATTTCTTTCATGGTTCATTGCCAGGAGGCTTGTGTTCGGAACAGATGAGCAGAAAAACAAGGCAGCCTACGAAATTCGTGTTCTTGCAAGGTCCAACATTTTCAACAGAGCGTGCTTGATTGAAGTGGGAACAGTGCCTTCGTTGCTCAATCTCTTGGACACTAACGATAAATCAACGCAAGAAAACGCAATCTCTGCTCTTCTGAAGCTGGCAAAGCATACCAATGGACAGAAAACTATAATGGAAAGCGATGGATTAACACCAATCCTTACTGTTCTCAAGAATGGAATTAGTTTGGAAGCTCGTCAAACCGCAGCTGCTATAATATTCTACCTTTCTTCCACTAAAGAAAACAGGAAAATAATCGGAGAAAACCCAGAAGCAATCCCAGCTTTGGTAGAACTAATCAAGGAAGAAACAACAGCCTTGGGGAAAAAGAACGCCACAGTCGCCATTTTTGGGCTTCTCCTGCTTCCTCAGAATCATCAAAAAGTGCTTGAAGCCAATGCTGTTCCTGCACTAGTTAACATCTTATCTTCATCAGAAAAATCTGACCTGACAACAGATTGTTTAGCAGTTCTTGCGGCGTTGGCGGAGAACGTGGAGGGAGCAAAAGCTGTGTCAAAAGCTTGTGCTTTGCCTTTGATCGTTGGGATGTTGCAGAAAATAACATGGAGGACAGGGAAAGAACACTGCGTAGCAATTTTGATGTCGCTGTGCGTTCATGTGGGAGAAGAAGTAGTGAGTATTCTGGCGAAGGATCCTTCATTGATGCCATGGCTTTACTCGCTGCTCACCGATGGAACTTCTCATGCGGCCAAGAAGGCGCGTTCTCTCATCAAACTTCTTCACGAATATAACGACACTAGAACTTCTCAGTGGCTTAGTTCCTCCGTTCTGCCAGAACGATCCCTTCACATTTGGTGAATACAGAACACAGATTACAGATTACAGATTACAGACACTCCCGTGTAATAGTATACCAATTGATGTAATACGAATTTGGAAACTATGGAATTGGCTCCATGCTTTTTTTTCTCCCTCCTCAAGGAGCGAAGCTCATTGAGTAGTCACTGTGGATGAAGTTTAGTGAAAATAAATCCCAGGATCATATACTTGGATTCATTTCAGTTAATAACATGTTGGGTTTGCTTTTAGCTCAATTTAGTTTTCACGATACATAAGTTACATATGTTTAGAGATCCTCCATTTGATTTTACATTGAAAACTGTGAAATTAAAATTATGAATTTCAATGCTGTGATTTTGGTGTTTTTTTAACATGAAACCAAGCATATATTCAGAAATTTGAAATTGCGATGGGATATGCTCTCTTTTTCCTTCCTGCAAAATGGTAGAATTTATGTTACCTATCGGTCATCATTGTGTACCCATAAGGAGATCAACCATTCATTAAGAAAGGTGGAGGAAATGGGTGATCCTCTTTCTCCAACTAATCTTTTTTAAAGAATTTTTCTCAATAAACATAAAAACAGCTCTCTAGATGCCTTTGAACCATTGCATGTTCATGGATGTATGCTTTTGAGCTAACGTAGGTTCATGCATATCTAATTATTTCTTTTTTTAAAAAAAAAACACTTACTGAGTTAACAAGTAAAATATTTACCAAACAAAATCAATCTCTCCTACTTCAAATATCGCCTGCCAAAAGAAATCGTATATGCATTTTTTTTTTTCATTATGGCATACAAGTTGAATGTAATTTTCATTGATTAATTTCTAACTGCATAATCAAATGAAATTGGCCAAAAACTAACAGGAAACGAAGCCTCTAAAGCGGGTTAACGTCTTAACGACGTCGTCTGCTGCCTGTTTGCGCCCTCTATAATTGCAGCGAAATTGGCACTTTCGGGGTTCGTCTAGAACCGTCACGCGAATCACTGATTTCTTCCGTCTTGTGAGGTAATTGAATTTTGCAGTCTCGCTTCTCGAATCCTTGGTCTTGGATTGGTGATTTGCTTTGATCTCTATTGTTTTTCAACTCTAGGGTTTTCCATTTTTCTTATTTAACTGCCCCTCACAGTAGACTCTGGTTTAGCTATGGCGACCGAAACAAAGCAGCCTGCTGAAGACGTCAAGGTTGATCTCTTCGAGGACGATGATGAGTTTGAAGAGTTTGAAATCAATGAAGGTAATCTTAGATAATCTCTTCTCTGTTCAATCTGATTTTCCGTGTTTTGCCTCCTTCTCTTGCTTTTTTTGCCCCCAATCAGACTAAATTTTTTCTAATAAATATCCCTATTTATTGATTCTTGATCTAATTCTGTCCTGCTTAGTTGCCGCCGATTTCATCTTTATTTGATCCTAAAATTCAGTTTTTCATTCTGCCCGAGGCTTCGCCAAATGGTTACGTGTAACATCCTGTGATTAGCTTCTATTGTGGATGATGCTCATATAAAATTCAGGAGATTTATCATCGGTTGCTGTGGATTTTGCATGTTCTGTGGCTACTTGTGCAATATTGCGTGTCCTATAGCCAGCAGGAGCGGTTTTCTGTGACAGCCCGTGTTTGCTTTCAAACTGTTTAGATCAGACGAGTAGATTCCTTCCATACATTGGTGGACATTCCTAACGTAGTACATGCTAATTTAAGTCAATTCTTTCGTGAGTCATGACTTGGAATAGATTTAGTTCCTCACGGTGTTGATCTTGTCTCTCATTAAACTATCAGCATCTCAGGGTAAAAATGACGGAAATGATAGTAATATTTGAAAACTGGTTGGGTATTGATTAATGAAAGCATAGATAACTTCATATGTTTCGGGTCTTTAGCATTGGATTATAAGTACTTCTGCCCTTGTACTCAAATTTTATGTTTCTTCCTGTATCTTTTGTGTTGTGTTGTTAATATGATCTGCACACAGAATGGGAAGAGGAAGAGGAAGGAAAAGAAGTGACCCAGCAGTGGGAAGATGATTGGGATGACGATGATGTTAGTGATGATTTCTCTATTCAGCTGAGAAAGGAACTGGAAAGCAATGCTGAAAATGAGAAGAAGTAAAAAAGCTGCTACTTGCGGTTGCTTGATGTTTCAAATGCATTGTGACTGAGTTATCTGATCTTTCCTTGGAATTGTTCTTGCCTGCGAAATCAGCGGCACGAACGCTATGCTTAGGCAGTAAGGAGTGTTAGATCAGGACATAAAAAACATTATTCTTGTTCTGTTCTTATATGAGCATGTAAGCTGTTGGATGTTTGAACTTGAACTGTTGAACAGAATTCTTCATCACTTGCTCTGAAAATTTGGCCTTACCCGCTACTGCATCAAATTATTCTGCCTCATTTTTGGCCATTTCTTCAGGCATATTTTCATTTGGGCATGTGTTTATCTGTTTCCAATCTTTGCGGAAACACTCACAGGTGCACTTGCATTGTTTTGGGGGCCTCTGTCTTCCCCATTCATGGCTTCAAAGGCTTAAATTAATATTTCGCATTTCATAGTTGGATGAGCTCATAACGAGAACAAAATCAGCACGCGGTTTAGAGTCGTTTTACATCGCGGTCGAGAGGAATTTTAATTTTAATTTTTTTTTGTCTTAAATGCAAATAATTTGAATTTTTCAGATATCTAGCTTCGCTTATTGTTCACTCCTAGATTTGGAGTGCCAGAGGGACTAGTATGTGCCAACAAGATCTGAAAAATAATTGCGAACTCTCTCGTGGTGTTGGAAAGCTTGATGTTAATTTCATTTCTCTTTTGGTAAGATGTTGTTTGCCCTTAAAAGTGAAGATTTACCTTAACAGTGATTTAAAACTGGATCATGTGAATTTTACCCAAATGTCATCCTCACAAGCGTGATATGATGATTGAAAATGAACTTATTCTCAGAGTAGTCACATTTCATCTGCCATGGGGGCATTAATCGCTGCGATTATCCAATGTCGAAGGTTATGCTTTCATGGAGACTACCTATTATTATATAATGTAAAACAGTTCTTGTATCTGTTAAAGGAATGTTTCAAAAAGGTATGGATATTACTCATCCGATCGGTATTAAATTAATTAACTAATTTAAATAGATTAATGATATTAATTAAATTAGTTAATATGATATGTTTTTTTAAAACATTTTAATCATTTTCTTTAATTCCTCATTCTTGCATTATTATTGAAGGAATGTCAATAGGTTTAATTTTTTAAAAAAATTGATAAATACATGAAATAAGTTTTATATATAAATCTAATCTTAACTCTTAAGTTCTACGTTAGGGGCAGGAGGGTTATTAACAAACAAACATAAGGACGAAGTCGGCAGCAACTAGCAAGAGGGTATTACCCGAATACTCCTAGTCTAGTGGTGACTGGTTAGGTCACAAGGGAATCGAGTCTCTGCTCTTTAAGGACGGGGATTCGAATTCTCACTTATTAAAAAGGGTACCGGGGAGGGTTCTCCTTGTCACACGGCTCGAATCCGGACTAGTCGATCACTCAGGTACCTAGTCCAAAAGAGGTTAGGGCTCAGAAAAAGCGTGGTTGGATACCGGGTGGTTCTTACCGGGGGAAAAAAAAAACTAGCAAGAGGGTATTCGTTACAGTCGGTGGGACGGTGATAATGATCATTAGTTTCTCCTTCCATCTCATGTATGACGTCCTTAAGAAATGTCGAAGAATCTTAGGATACCGCACAGGCGCACATCATGAAACAGGGTTCCTCCAAACAATCAAAATACTAAAGCCAAAAAAGTTTACTTTTTCAAAAAGAAAAGGCCCAAATATGAATGAAATGGACGTTGATTATACACGGAATCAGTCGTATATGAGCACGAATCCAGTTTTGATCTATACAATCTCAATTTCCCCATTCTGTGAAACATCAAGCTTGGGAACGAGGGGCGAATGAAGCCAGGTTCTGCAAATGGGACAAATGGGTGTTTTGAGAATCCAGGAATCTATGCAGGAGACATGGAAGCTGTGGGAGCAATTAGGCAAGAACCTGCAAATATCACCGTCCTTGAAGCTCTCTAAGCAAACTGCACAATCCACACTCACAGTGCTGCTACTAACTCCCTTTCCTTTCTCTGCTTCCTTGTACTCAAAACAGGGCAGATCCTTCATCTCCTCACTTGACATTCTCTTCGTCCCAATTCCATCAAAATCGCCATCGCTCTGTTCGTCATTCCCACCCTGATGACTTCCTCTTCGCAGAGCCCTTCCCACGACGCACACATGGATCAACACCAAAGCAGCGATACCCACAAACAGTAGAATCAGGGAAATGAAAATCTCCTTCATCGTAATTAACCTTAGAACCCAGAACAAACTAAGTTGTTTCTTCTTTCTTCACAATGTGGGGTTTTGTTAGTGTTGAACCAAAGAGTGACTCAGCGAAAACGGCAAAATAGATGGGAAAGAGAAAGAGAACCCAACACGAAAAGCTGAGAGCTTGTGCGTTTACGATATGCATCCATGTTATTGACGGCGTGGAGGCACAGTTCGTGAGAAAGCAACCAAAATAAAATAAAAGTTGAGAATTTTAAAAAGGAAACAATAATGATTGCTATAATGCGAAAGAAACAAGCGGCGAATTCATATGCTGCTCAAGGGGGTGCGTCCAACAGCAAGTTTTGGTGGCTGTGGGCGCCACTCCGGCCAATCCTGTTTATCAAAATCCCAATTCCGCCCAACTAATTGTTTTTCTTCTTCTGCAAATTACGGTGTATTTAAGAATTACTTTACACATAACTCCAAAAAACTCTAATGGGAATGTTCTCTCCTAGTCTAAAAACTAGTTAATTAATTTGAGTGGATTAAAAAAAATTAGTTAAGTTAGTTGTTTATAATAAATAGGTATTTTTTTTAAAAAATATCCTTACTAATTATATCTATTAGTTAGAGTTACCGTTGACCCAAAAAAAAAAAGTATTACCTCCTGTCCTATGAACAAGGTCTTATAATTAAGACTAAAGATAGTATTAATTAGAGCTACTATTTAATGAAATATGTAACATGTGTAATTACTCAACACTATAAAATAAGTCTTATATTTAGAATCAGAAAAATACTACAAAAACTATTTTGAAAAAATAGATAAATATGAAAACAAAACATATTAGAATTTTACTTTTATAACCAATTGAATGTTAAATTAACTCTTATATTAAACAGTGAAGGTACATAGAATCTAATAAATATGAGAGGTATAAATATACACATTCTCTTTTTTTTTTTTCCAATTTTACATAATATAAAATTTTATTTCAGCCTTTTATTACATATAGCTTTTTCTATATTTCAACTTTTTTTATACAAAAAAATTTAAGTGAGTTAGGTCTCAGAGGCTCATCAGAGTCAGAATATGCCTTCAAGCTCAAAGAGTGCTTACAGAGGTACCTATAAATTACCCACTAATAAAGTATTCACATTAACATTGAAATTCAAACTCACGATTTTATAAGTTATAAATTGATTCTTTACCAACTACATCAATTCTTGTGAGTATATTTTACCTTTGATATAAGTTTACGAAACAAATCTTCACTTGAAAGATATATTGTCGTTTTTCTGGTAGCAGTAATCAAATAATTTATATATAGAATCTAATGAGATGCATGTACTTTAATTAGATCCAGGTACGACTACTACTTTGTTTAATGCCGTCAATGTTGCGTTACCGGCAATATTTAAATAGCCATTATTTTTATGATGGGTTTTTTAAAACAGTTTTATGATGGATTTGACATGCAAAATTGATGTATTTTTCTATGAAAAACATGCTAATCTCTAATCCATGGAAACGACGTTTTAATACAAATCAGGTTTCAACTTTCAGTGCAATATTGTATTATTTGCAATTACAAAAATATTTGTACATAACACATCTAAATAATATAAATATAAAAAATTTGCACATGATCACTACATTGGAAAATTTTAATGTACTCCATGAAATATATTTAAGAACTTGTGAAATTACTTCATGTTTGCTATACTTGGGTTGCACTATATTCTGAAGCAGGATTGAACCTGCAATGGTTTACTCATAAAAAAAATAGAAAAAATCCCAAAAAAATCAATATTGAATTTCAAAATTTTAAATCAGGAATTACTACAAAAATGTATGTCATTTACCTTTCAAATGTAGTCATTTTCTTTACGCGTGTAATAACTAATACTGATTTAGAATTTTGAAATTCAACAATCACTTTTTTTATATTTTCCTAAAAAACTATTCATACCATTATATTACAAGATTATTGACCAATCTTTATTTTATTGAAGGGGGTATTATAAGCATAGTGTATATAATGTCCTTTTCCATGTGGTGGCTAGCAATGGATGCTTGTTACAAACTAGATGTAATTTACAAGCTTAATTAATTATACTTAACCGCTTTAACTCTACATCAAGTACTCACCCAGCTCCTAAACTTAACTTCAATGTCTATAATTGGCTTTTAAATATGTCTCAAATATTATAACATTTGTTAAATCGTGAACCATTTATCCCCGAAAAAAAAAAAAGGAAAAGGAAATTTGAAAGTTAAGAAAGCATGATCAATTCAAACGTATATTGAGAATATGAATTAATGATCATGCGATGATTAATATTGCAATGACTACTTCATGAAGACGAATGGGGTTAATTAGTTACTTAAATAAATGAAACTACAAGGTAAACCTTTCAAAAGAACTGGCAAAGACTACATTTTATTTTTCCATATTTGTGGTGCAAATTAAACTTGTGAAATTTCATTTTAAGTCCACATAAAATGATTTAGAACCCATCTGAAATAATTTATAAGCAGTTTTTTAATCGTAATTTGACAAATACGAGATAAATATATGAAAAGAGTTTTATTTCAGTTTATGTAAAACATGCTTATAAGCATTTTTCATTGCTATCCCAAACAAGCCCTTGGTTATCGATAAAATTGGATCATAAAAATAATCATAATTTTTTTAAAACGCATGTTTAAAAAAAAAAAAAGTAACGATTCTATTTTTGTGGCTTCTTGTGGGGAAACACTTTGTTGAATTTGAAGAACAGCCAGTGAAGTCCGCAGAAAGAGATACATCGCAAACTGATTGCCAAGTTGGTGACCAAGTATGCACAAACTCACTCCTAAAATGCAGTTAATCTTTTTCCCATTTTAAGTTATGTTGCCTATATATCCAATAACTGATCTTTTTCAGTCGATTTTACAATCACCATTGTCATTTTTCTTGTCCTTGTCTCTTTGAGTTTCTTCTTCCAACTCTGTCACCATGGCTAACACTAACCTCGCCAGAACCATCATTGGAGTAATTGGTCAGTCCACCAAAAGCCTCTTCACTCAAAAAACAGAGCTCTCCCCTGTTTCTTTTATCTGATAAATAATTAATCACAGATTTATTTAATTTGCAGGAAATATCATCTCCTTTGGCTTATTCTTGTCTCCTCTGTAATGTCCCTATCCTAAATGACTCTCTTTCTCTAATCATAAAACTTGTTCATAATTTATTATAGTTTGACATGATTGTTATTAATGCAAACGCAGCCCAACGTTTATGAGAATATATAAGGCAAAATCGGTGCAAGAGTTCAAGCCTGATATTTATCTGGCCACAATAGTGAATTGTTTAATGTGGGTTTTCTATGGATCTCCACTTGTGACCCAAAACAACATCCTTGTCCTCACCACTAATGCCATAGGCTTCGCCATTGAGGTCTTTTATATTCTCATCTTCTTCGTTTATGCCCCCTGGAGCAAACGTGTAAGTCCCAGATCATTCACTAAAACCATAACACTTAATCTAATCACGCTCTGTTTTCCTGGTTGCTGACTAAATTAAGTAATCCTTCTCACCTAATCTCATCACGCTCTGTTTTTCTGGTTGCTAACTAAATTATGTAACCTGTTTCAGAGAAGGATCCTATTCATCCTTTTGATCGAAGCAGTATACTGTGTGGTGTTGGTATTCTGCATCCTGCACTTCGTTCCCACCCTCAACCAAAGAAAATTGATTATAGGGGTTATTTGTATTGTCTTCAATATCCTTATGTACTTTTCGCCCTTAACAATCATGGTACGCCTTTTAATTGTGTTGTGTTATTAACTCTGTTTTCTCGTATTCTTCGTATCTATGTTTGTTTGATATGTTTCTTGTAATGAGCAGCGTTTAGTGATTAAAACAAAGAGCGTGAGGTATATGCCTTTCTTGATTTCGCTTGCTAATTTCGCCAATGGACTCATCTGGGTGATTTATGCTCTGTTCAAATTCGACATCAACCTTGTGGTAATGTGCCTGTTTCAACCTTAACATTTCAGTGTTTCATGGATTAATGTCTCTTTTGAGAAATTTTGAAAGGGATTTTTAAGTTTCATATTTGTGATTTCTTCAATTTCATCAGCTTCCGAATGGTTTGGGAGCACTTTCTGGACTGGCGCAGCTAATCCTCTACGGCATTTACTACAGAACAACCGATTGGGGAGACGAAAACTCACAAATCGCCATGAGCAATGTCTAATTAAGATTTTGGTGCCCAGAAAAACTGAGTATAGAAGCAAATCCTCAAAGATTGTTTCACACAATTAAGATTTTGGTGCCCAGAAAAACTGAGTATAGAAGCAAATCCTCAAAGATTGTTTCACACAATTAAGATTTTGGTCTTCCTTAGGGCTATGCTTCATGTATTGACAACGAGATCCTATCACATACATGCGTAACAGTTCTGCAAAACTGTGTAGCTCAAATCAAATTACAACAGATTTTTCTATTTATATAGCACAATGGCTCCCTCTATTACAAAGTTTTCAAGTGTACAAGTGATCATACTGCTAAATGCAAATCACCTCAATGATGAGTATCACATTACAATACGATAACGATCATACATAGCTACAAGGACAAGCTCAAACCAAGGGAGAAAAAGGGTAAGAATCTAAGGAAAAAAGGGATGGATCTCGCGCTTCCTATACCTGTTTACTATATATTTCTGCCTCAAACTTGGAAACCGTTTTCTATTTTCTCGCCATAGATACAGATTGATTCTAAGGACATGAAAATCACTATACCCAACCAATCGTTCGTTGAAAAACTATAGATCATGGTCCTCTGTACTTTCGGAAACAAAGACAACCTCGTTGTTGGTCGCGGGGGATCATGCCTCCACCTTTTGATGTGTCAATGGCTTCTAGCAAGGAAACCAACTCATCCATCTCAGGTCGCTTTTCAGGATTGGCATCCCAGCATCTCTTCATTACATTTGCTAGAGAACTTGGGCAACATCTTGGGATCTCTGGTCTCAGATTCTATGGTTCTCAACCAAAAAAATGACATTATCAGACTAGATCAACAATCACAAATTGCTCAAGAGAGATAACCGATTTGAACAGAAAAGATAGTTTACCTGACGAACAACAGCTGTGGTAACCTCTGAAAAACTTAGGTCAGGGTATGGCATGTCACAACAATATATCTCCCATAGACAGATGCCAAAACTGTACACATCACACTTCCTGTTATAGGGCTTGCCATTTAACACCTGGTTGACACCGGCACAATTGAAAAATATGTGAATAGTCAACTACACAAGCTCTCTCTTTAATTAAATTTAAAGGGAAAAAATCCTCTTAATTTTCTTTTTCCTTCTGACATATTCCTTTCTACCACATTAAGGCCGCCATTTAGGACATAACTTACGTACAACTATTGAAGTGGTTGTTAACAGTTCTTCAATAAAGACCTTTCTTGAAGAAGTAATGATGTTGTGCTAAATCAGATATGCATCCACGTATTATAGTTACATTAAAAAATCTGATAGTGATAACAGCTATGTAAATAACTGTGCATAAATTTTTCATATGCAAGTTTTAAAAGTTTCTATAAGCTACACACCTCCGGAGCCATGTAACCAAGAGTACCAGTCTCTCCTGTCATGTCATTAGGATTTGAAGCCTCAACACGTGCAACCCCAAAGTCAGCAATTTTAACTGTACGTGACTTATCCAATAACATGTTCTCTGTCTTCACATCTCTATGGACAATCTTTTGAGAGTGGAGATAACTCAGCCTGCAAAATCAAGTGAACTTTTTCCATGGTCATGTAAGAACGTTATAAGGATAGTCCTTGTTATCAAATTGCTGAACCATTGCTCTAAAGAAAAAGAATATTGTCAAGTAAAATACCCTCTCGCAAGATCTAGTGCAAACTGGATGACCACCTTGAAAGTTAACTTCCTTCTCCTATTCTTTATTAGGTATGATTTCAGTGAACCCCCAGGAAGATACTCCACAACAACACAACAGATATTGCTGGGCATGCTGATTAGCCCATTCTCAGTTTGTACCTGTAGTTCTGATGACCCCATTGTTGCTCCTATAAACTAAAATGAAAAGAGCAAATTCAGTAAGAAACCAATGATAAAATAGACAACAGCACAATGACCCTTCAGAAAACTACAAGCTATCCTAGATGGAATACAAGTGAAAATTCGAGTGGGGGAAGGGGGATTATTCTGGCCTCCTCAATATCTGGTTATCTGCAGGCATTCTTTTGTCCTAGAAAAGTGTTGAACAAAGACCAAGAAATCCACTGATCAATGTACTTTCATGTAATGAAGATACAAGACATCTTTTCTCACAGTCAGAAAGGCGGAAGGTCATTAAGGAGGAGAAATGTTCATAGACTGTCAGATTATAAATGAAGACAGCAATAACCAAATTTTATATCATTCCTCTCCGAATGACGAGATTTTTCAATAAGATGCATAGCACCATACGGAATACCACAACAGCAGGCACTCTGCAAACCTCATGCTCTTAAGCTATTGATTGAAAATTTGAAATAAGGTAATGATGGCACTCAATGGCAGATTGAATTTCGTTCCATAATTGCAAGCAAAAAAGGTTCCAAAAGCTAATGTTGATTTCGAGTTAAATGTTGCATTTGCGAGGAAGGAAGATGAAGCAACATAGAGGAAGAATGAATAGCCTTCTTTGCTACATCAATGCCCACAGGCTTGACCAACAACAACAACAAAACAAAGTAAAAAAAATTGAATTTTCATAAAAGTATAACTGACCTTAGTGACATTGGGATGATCAAGTTTATGCCAAACAGCAACTTCCTGTATAAATGCCGCCCTAAGTGAAGCAATTTCAGCTTCTGTCCTTTGGCCTTCTTCACCCCAGTCCAGCAATTTAACTGAGCATAACGTAAGCGATCAAAAATGGTTGCTATCAGTTACATGCAGCAAGTTAAACCGCCAATTTAATTAGAATAGTAACCAGGCAAATAATATCTTATTCTAATATCCAAATTAATGGGCTCTGTCCTGGATTAAAAAAGAAAGTCAATATGGACACCAAGATATAGTTTTTGAACAGGTTTTTTATTATATCAAGAAGGCCCACAGACCAAGACCACCAACTATCGATTTCTGGCTACGTCCAGGGAACCAAGTCACCACAGAGATTCAACAGTTGACCCAGTTCTGAGAGACTTTACGGCATTAATTGAATAAGCCCTCATTACTTGTATACTCATTTTGAAATTTCAATATTATCCAGACAGTTCGATTATATACAAAGTGAAACTCGCCACTAAAACTTTCATACTAATACCTATTACCCACAAGTTCACAACATCACATGATGTTTCAGATGCAAAACATCATCCAGTTGTTGTCTCCACAATCTCAACCCGAGTCCGTGTAGGACTCGCGGATTACATAAGACTGAATCCAAAACATCATATCACCAAATCATCGCAAAAGTCAACTCTTCCCCAATGAAAAAAATTATTTCTCCGCCATTATGAGGAAGAAGAAGCGAAGCCAAAAATGACGAATCCCCAACGCCCATCAGAAAAAATCGAAATGGTAATTTTGCTGAATCGATTCAGAATAAACTGAAATTGCAACAGTCCAAAAGAAAAAAGACATTGAAAAGAACAGGGGGAAGTCAAGTCACTAGAAACATCGACTCAAAAATCATCGCCAAAAAGGGTGAGGAAGGAAGCGTGAAGTGGAAGTGGGACTGACCGGCGACGTCTTGGCCGTCGTAGACGCCGCGGTGGACGGTGCCGAAAGTGCCACGAGCAATAACTGACTTGATGATGAGCTTGGAAGGGTCAATCTCCCAGTCATGCCTTTGCTTCCTGAAGATGGGCCCAGCCTTAGGTTTGATGGCCCTAGGGCTGATAACAATATTAGTAGCAAGATCATCTTCCTCTTTCCTCTTGTTCTTCTCCATGGTCAATGCCTTGTTCATGTGTCTCTCTAGCTGTTCATCTATGCTCTTGAGATCAATCTGATCCGCCCTCACAAACCCCTCGCCCCCCTCCTTCATCTTCTTCCTTCTTCTTGTTCTTCCTTCTTCTGCTTCAACCTTCCTCTCTGGGTAATATGGTTTGCAACAGAAAGACGAACGAACTTGAGTTTTGATATTGAGATGCTGCTTCAGCTTCTTCGTCTTCCAATCATCAATCCTTGTGGGCACATGGAATGGAATTGCCTACGCATACACTAGAGCTTTCACCCACTTGCCATTTCCCTCTCGTCCTCTGCGTCCCTATTCATCACTATATATACACAGACAAATAACCATTGACTTCCTTGTGGCTTTGGGCTTTTTAATGTCTCCCCCAACCAACGTCTTACTAAAAACTAATCTAGTCTTGCCCTGCTCCTGCCTTGCCACGTGTCCTCTTGCTGGAAGAAAATAAACCCCGAGATACACTTCTTTCTTTCTTTTTTTTTCTTTCAGGCTTATTTGTTTTACCATATTGATTAATTTCTCCTGATGGCGTTATGAATTTTGAATCGAAATGTTTTATTTGATTATAAATAAACAAGATAAATTGAAGTTGGATGCCATAGTCACTTGCGCAGTTTCTGGATTATGAAAACAAATGATATAGACAAGTCGTTGTCATCAGCTATCGCAATAAAATCCCAACAGTTTCTGCACAAACCGTGTTACTGTTTTTTTCTTAATATAAGATCTTATTTAATTTTTATTTATATATAAGACTCTAATATATTTTATATTTCATTTTTTTTTAAATAACCCTTCTAATAATAGTAGTTATAGCCTTTGATTAGTACAGATATTTTAAGAAATATAACACATATTTATGATAAATAACTAATTTAACTTATTTTCTTAATCTACTTAAATTTATCAATTAGTTTTTATACGTAGAACTGAAACCCTAGTAATTGTCAAATTATCAATTCAATCCTCCACGTGTGAACGTACTTTCTAAGTTGGACCAAACAACCTAACTTACATTAATTGTCAGGCTTTGTTTTTTTTATATATATATATAAATAGAACAATTTTGCGGAACGACGTTTTATGGGGATGACGAGGTTTTCTTTTTTTAGCCCACGGAAAAATGTCATATTTTTATAATTTTATAAATATGATGGAAGGATTGGTGTGTCCGTTTGGATAAATAAACCACAAGATTGCCTGATTACTATAGAGTGGTAATTTCATTTTGAAGCAAAGTTGGTGACA